GAGGGGGGGGGGGCTAAAGAGCGGTCGATATTTCACTGAGACCCGGCGACGGTAGTTTCGAGCGAAGGCTCGGAACGACGCTCGCGCGAACAATCCCCCGGATATTCGCGCTCCACCCTTCGGAGCAGCCCCCAATTTTAGCATTCTTCCACTTCCTTCCTTCCTTCCTACTATTCGCCCTTCCGAATCTAGGCGCTCTGCACCCTTGACCTTTCCTCGCGCTATTGGGAATCGTTAGGTAGCTGCCTCGCCACTTTGTTATTCTCTCGCAGGAATACACGTACGTAGAGAGCGTGGACTAGTCGAGTAGCGGAGTAGCGGAGTAGCAGAGTTATGGCGTCCCGTTGACCAGGGGACTAGCCCACCGTCAAGGTTACCTCGTGGTCGGTTTGCCACCCTCGCTACTACTACGCTATAGTCTATGAATGAAGCACCTACGAGCGTACGGACACATCGCATTTACGGCTATGAAAGCGAGTTGGTCGAGAGCCCTGGTAGGTGGTAGGTGGTAGGTGGTGCGGTTGTAGGTAGTAGGCTGTAGGTTGTAGGTTGTAGCTTCTACAAATATAATAGTAGCCTTGACGTGCTGGTTACTGCACGAGACCTATGACACATTCTGCCGACTTGAGCTCTCTCTTGGGCATTCGTATGTCGTCACTTGACGCTTCTCTTAACGCGTAACGCGCAATGCGTATAACACTTGAGGCGGCACATTTTTTCGACGATCGTATAGGGTACTTTTTTTTTCTTTTTTTTTTTTTTTCTTTTTTTCCAAGGATTTACCATTCCACGATTTATTTCAATTTTATCGGTTGCCTCGGATATCGAGGGCTTCTTTCGGGATTCGAGTGGCAAAGGGTACGCAGTCGGGATAGACTTTCAAAACCTCGAAGACCTCAAAGACCTCTTAGGACTTATCACGGGAGAGGATGAGAGTCCTCTTGTCCTTATCTGTTCCCCTCTTCGGGATATCGATACCTTACCAGATATTCTTCTAGCTGTCCCTTTCTTTGTTCTCACCGAGGATCCTTCTCTTGTTTCTGTTTCAGATCGTACAAATCAACCGCCTTCTAACAAGCCACATTAACCTCAAGTGATTTATATTTTCTTACGAAGCGCGAAAGAAGTAATTAGTGTGTTTATATGTCGTAATATCCCAAGAGCTTAGGTTCAGGAGAAACAAAGGAATCAGAGCTATAGTATCTATCTAGTGTACAAAGTATATCTCGAGGAAGAGCAGCAAGTGTGGAAGAATTGACGAAGAAGAGGAGGAAGAAGACAGAAGAAGACAGAAGAAGACGTAAAAAGTAAGAAAACAAAAAGTAAACAAAAGTCCGCCAGTGCCAAATCGAAAGGGAAGAAAATAATAAGGAGAAGAAGGAGAGGAAGAAGATAGGAAAGATTAGAGTAACGAGTGAATTATTATAATACAGAAGTCAGAGCCAGAAAGATACGCCGAAGGAGAAGGAGGATCAAGGGGATATAAGAAAACACAAGAATTAAAAGAAAAACCGTAAACCAAAGAATCTACCATTTTCTACTAATCATTGAAAATAACGATACTCTTAACTGGATACGACGCGTGGGAGAAGGGAGAGTCACGAGTGTCACGAAAGTGAAAATACGAAAACGACCAAGAGAGAATAACGAGAAGCGGAGAAGAAAGAAGAAGAGATATAAGCGCGAGCGAACAGGAAGACGAACAGGAAGTCCTTCGTACTCAGATTATAAAAGGAAGGAGCGAGGTGGAAGAGAGAGAGAGAGAGAGAGAGAGGGAGAAGAAAAGAAACAAAGAAAGAAGCATAGGAATTTATATTTAAACTATAAGTATCTACATTTTTTAACGAGCACCGACAAATTTTTATGAAGTTTTAAGAAAAAAAAAAAGAAAACGTGGATACGTGGAACCGGAAGACACAATACTCCAGAGCAACCGATCTACTTCAGTTCGTAGCCTAAACCTGTCGAGTACAAAAGAGCGCGAATACGCAGAGAAGGTTAGCAAGAAAAAAGAAAATAAATAAATCACGAGACACGATATAGTTTGACTCGCAATCAGATAAGCTCGAGAATCAGGATAGACAGAGAGGAGAGAAAGAAAGATAGAGGGAAAGGCTTTCTAGGCGAGGAGAAAACTCGAGCCGACCAATAAGTACCAATATCCTCGAGGGCGACTCACTTGCTTTCGCGAGTGGCGGCTGTGAGCCAGAGAGACACCAAGAGACCTGCGTAAGGAGGATCCGGAGGACTCGGAGGACTCGCAAGGACTCGGAGGACTCGGAGGAAGACGGAAGAAGCAAGTCGTAGGTGTAAAGTGAGGGCAGTGCGAGGCTCGAAGGAAGTGAAGAAGAAGAAATAGAAAATTGAAGCAAGCAGCAGGTGCCTCCGGAAGGGAGGGAGGGATGGACCTTAGGATGTTTCGGCGAAGATGAGCGCCGAGGTCACCAAGGAGGTCGCCTCCGAGAGGGTGAGCCCTCCGGCAGTCGCGACCTCGCCGAATTCCGGTCCAGGAGATCCCAATCGACACTTGCCTCCGTTCAGCAGCTTCGCCGACGGTACGATGGACGGTTCGGCGACCCTGACGACCCTGCACCCCCAGGACGTGGGTCTAGGGCTGACCTCATCCTGGGACTACTACGAAGGCCTCACCGGCCGGCTGATAGACTCCCGGGGCGAGGTCGTCCTCGCGAGTCAGTATCGGCCCTGGGAGTCGAAAAACGCAGGCGGAGGTGGCGCGGAAGGTCTGCCCAGCTTCGCGAGCCAATTCACAGCGCCGAGCGAAGCGGAGCCCCAGCTCACCGCCTTGACGCCTCTGTCGCCGGCGTCGATTTCACACTCACCTCCGGTCACTTCCGTTGGCCTCCCGAGCTTCCATACTCTCGGGGCGCCACTTCCGGCTCCTCATCCACATCGGGCCCCGGTCGGATATCCGCTAGTGCCGGCACCTGTCCAGGCGCGTGAAGTCCCGGCTCTTCAGCAGCAACTCCTGGACGAACGACATATCCAGCTACTGGGATCCAGCCCGGTCCAGGCGTTTCCGCCCCCACCGGGACATCCTCATCACACGGTCCTCACCGTGGTCAAACCCGAGTACCCGCAACTCCATCATACCAACTTCCAGAACCCGATGTCCACGGTCCTCGACTCGCCGACGTCGCGGGTTGGCATCGACGGCCGCAAGAAGGAGCGCAGAAAAATACGGGCCGGCTCGATGGAGTCCGAGGACGGTGCCAACGTCGAGAGTTCCGGTCAGGTGGCGGCTGTCTCCTCCACTGCCAACCGGGGGCCTCATCATCTTGGCGGTGGCATGGGCGACGGCGACAGCGAGGGCGGTCTCGGGGACAAACCCGCCAAGAAGAAGCGCAAGAGGTGCGGCGAGTGCATCGGCTGTCAGCGGAAGGACAATTGCGGCGACTGTGCCCCGTGCAGGAACGACAAGAGTCATCAGATCTGCAAGATGAGGAGGTGCGAGAAGCTCACCGAGAAGAAGGTGAGTGAGAAGTCTCTTTTACGTTTAGCACAATACCGGCAGGACTTCTTTCGACTGGGTCTATGCGGAACCTGGGCAACTGCTCTCGAATTCGATGGGGCTTAAAATCGCGATGGGGCACCCGGTCGTCTCTCGTAGCCGCGCTAGACGCTTCCTTCTTTTTCTCCTGCAGGATCCAGCCGCTTCGTCCTTCAGCTGAACCGGATTCTCGCCGGTCTCACGCTCGAAGGACGAGATCGCCGAGCATTCCTGGGGGCATTCTACGCGCGGAATCCCGTAAGGAGAAGGCCCCCCAATAATACAGTATATTATACCAACCGATCCGATCGAAATCGAAATCTTTAAATTCGCATTCAAAAATTGTACTTTGATTATCGAATCAATCTGACGGGGATAATCAATGGGAAGGAATTTGCGTGAAAAAAATGGTTAATGAAAGACCTGTAAAAAAAAAGAAAAATGTGTATAAAGGGTATAAATGAGAACGAAAGTAAGTCTATAAGCAGTGACGGCCGTTTAAAGCCAGTATGGTCAGCGTAGTCAACACAACCAACAGCCAATATAGCAAAGCGGGCCGTTTCCCGTGCATTGGCGAGTGCGAGGGCAGCAGCGTAGGTGTATAAAGCACGCAGAGGCAGGCAGAGGCAGGCAGAGGCAGGCAGAGGCAGGTAGAGAGAAGCGTGGCCCGTAGAGTAGGCTGCCGTTGTATAGAGTCTATATAAACGTGGATGAACAACGGTATATATAGCCTGAACTTGGCCCCAATGCCTGGATGTGCCGAGAATCCCAGAGGGAAATACAGAAATACAGATAACCGAGGTGGTTTATTATTGCAGTGACATTGAATGGGGGTTGGCTCCCTGCTCGCTCACTCGCTCACTCGCTCACTAGCGAGGGATCGGAGCATATCGCGTACTTGTACTATCCCTATTAAATAGCCCGAAACAATCGTACACAGGTTGTATTTCGATATGAACACACGTTACTATTGTTCCACGTTTGCAGAACTCGCCGTAAGTATAGGCTGTGGAATTGTACGTAGTAGTTTAAGGAGTGACGTATAGCTATACGTATAGCCTGTGCTGAAATATATTAATCGAACCAGTGGAATGGCGTACACGTTCCAGAGGCTCGTAAGCAAGCCTCGGCTTATCGTAGGGCAAGTTCAAGGCTCGCCCCGGGTCATAATAATCACGTATCGAACTCCGCCTTGCTCGGAAACAAACGTGTTGTTAATGCCGATAGCCACACGCTACTCCATAGTATTGAAACACAGCCCGATAATGAGCGATTAACGGGGCTTCAGATTCTCAGCCAGAGAAAATTTCACTCTTGCTTTCTACCATTTCCAATTCTCAATCCTCCACCTTCCCATTTTCATTCTAGTCCCTCCGTCCCATTCCACGCCTCCCTTCACCCTACGTTTTATTTATACAGCCTCTCCTGATCCCGCGTGCCGAACTCCTCGGGGTTCCCTGTTAAACGTTTCTCTCTACCTCGCGATTTCCTCCTATAGCCGCTGCTGGTGTTCCTGACTGGCAACTTCGAATTGGGTCGAAGGGCTTCTCTAACTTTATCTACCTCCTCTTGCTCCTTCTACTTTCGCTCTTCGGGATTCCGCGAAACGTCCTGGAAATGTGACGTAGGCATGCGAAAAATCTGCCAGGCATTTTCGCCAAAACCAAAACGATATTCCGATCGGCGCGTTCGCTTTTCTCGCGCAAAACAAATCAATTATGCTCGATGTATTACGCAGTTCTTCGGAGCGACGGCACCATGACTCATTCGAAGAGAGAGAGAGAGAGAGAGAGAGAGAGAGAGAGAGAGAGAGAGAGAGGGAGAACGGATAGGCACCGAGAAAAATGGCTGAGGATTCGAGAACCGCGAGAACGTCGTTAAGGATGGGGCAAACCGAATCGATGCGATATTAGAGGGAGACTCGGCGAGGAGAGGAGCGGGGCGAAGAGGTGAGACGTCATCTCGTATTGCCAATAATCAATAGTAGAGCGGCGGGGTAGTTCCCAAAGACGAGGGGAAAGTTCAGGGAGACTCGAAAGAGACACCAAACGTCCAGTTTTATCCTTAGAATTTCGAGGCTGAATAAGGGTAGGTTCAATAACCACCGACTCGAGGAAGACGCGCATTTTTGAAGGGCTCTACGACACACAGCACCTTCCCTCTGAACTTTTCGGGGCAGGGATGAATCGAGCAATGCAGTTCCTAGGAGGTCGGATGAACGTGCGCGAGGGTGCAGGGGTGTATGGGGGTGCAATGAAACAGGCAGGATAAGAGACTTGGATGATAGATGGACGCGAGACGGAGACTGAGGTGTATAGCCTCGCCGTCACAACAACCCCTCGTCCCCCACCGGCCAACTTAACACCCTCTTTATCCCGAGGGAAACCTCCCTCCCGTTACTTCCTCTTCCTCGTCTTTCGCTTGCTTCTGTTGTTTAGACCGTTTCCCATCTCCTTTCCTCTTTCCCTCTGTCTTCCTCGGTCCACCCGTTACAGTCGGACCAGTCCCTTGCCAAGACCTCCCTTGACTCTCTTCCTTCGGTACACCTGGAGAGAGAGAGAGAGAGAGAGAGAGAGAGAGAGAGAGAGCTGGCAACCTCCGACAGCTACACCCCACGAGTCCCGGACCTGCCGAGGCTGCCCTGATTTTTATCGTTGTTGTTTTGACCCGATTCGTCATAAATTAAGGGGATCGTCGACCCGGCAAACGGGATGCTCGCCAGGAGTCCTTTCTTCTCACCGCTCTCTCCTTCTTCTATCTCTTCCGTCGATAAATGCTTCTTACACCTTCGGCTTCGTATCCACCAACTGTCCGTTCGTTCTCGGAGTCTCCAGACTCCCGGCGACGTCTAGCTTTCATTTCCTGAGGTCGAAATTTCGGACGATAGCGAATAAATGGCTAATCCGACGTGTCCGTGGAGTGAGAGAATCTTCATTGGAATCGCGTGGCGGGAGATTCGCTGGATGGCGGAATAGGCTGCTGCCGTATCTACGCGGCATGGCGAAATTTAAAGCATAGCCTAGTAATTTTCACCCCAATTTCACGGAATTTCCCAATTGCCAGGTTCCCGAATAATTTGCAGAGAGGGAGAGAGAGTCGTGAGTAGGGGTAGGGGGCAGAGGTGCGTAGAGGGAGGGAAGCTTGCCAAGCAAACTGTACAGATGAGTGCGTGCGTGCGTGCGTGTGTGAGAGAGAGAGAGAGAGAGAGAGAGAGAGAGAGAGAGAGAGAGAGAGAGAGAGAGAGAGAGAGTGCGACTAGGGGTGCTTTCGCGTTCCAGCTAGTCCCGGTGCCCCTCGGTTCATTCGATCGCCTCCCACCCCTCCGTCGCCCGTTCAACCAATGGCGTGACACCGTGAGCACACGCACAATCTCACGTTCATACGATGCACACACGCGTGGAACAGGCACGTGCGTAAATTGGGTCCTTCCATTCTGAGGATTAGGGTAGGTTAGGAAGGAGCCATTTTAATATCTGGCGAAAGGCTGTTCCCGTTTTCAAAAATTCAATCCTCCTGCCTCGGGATTCTAGTAACTCGAAAGATTTCAAAGAGAGATCTTGGAATTCCCTCTGTCCTCTTGTTGTCTGTTGGCATATCGGACGTCAATATGGCCGACGACGAGATGCCATGGGGTCATTTTTATTTCTCTTTGCATGACCGTAACAGAGTTGGTTGCCCTGACGTGAGATAACCCTGAACCTAGCATTATGAGTGCTTATCGCTCGGTTATCAGGGCCCGAATAAACTTCACGTAAACTATCCAAACGTTACATCGGCGAGAGTTCTCTTGAGAAATCTAATAATATTTCTGTCGTTTTATTCTCCCTCTCTCTCTCTCTCTCTCTCTCTCGTAAACGCATGCGAAACGCAGACGCCGTAACCGAACACTCGTCTCTCGCATCGAATGCTGCTCTCCCTTTTTTTTCCACTGGCAGCTTCGAGGGCTTCGGCCCTTTCGATTTATCGAGAAACCGAAACCATGCTGGACGAACGGAAGACTGCTGGTTCTTTAGGGGGGCGAAGGGGGGCGAATCGGCTGCGAGCGACGGCCGTCGTTTCTCCGATTCTCCGTTCTGCGTGCGACTGCGTCTCCCAGTGTCCACGAGGTGTCGAAGCCAGCGAAGAAAGTCTCCAGTCTACGTGCGACTGTAGCCAAAGGTATTACGTGAGAAATTACGAAAGACAGAGACGGCAGCGAGCAAGGTGGAGTCTGCGAGAGGACGGGAGCGAAAGGAGAGCAAAGAAAGGGAGACGAAATCTGTCTAGCGTTGCCAGCGATTTCCCAGAAGAGAGATTCGCCGTGGGGACTGGAAGCTTGGCGGAAGTACAATAATTCGGTCCACTTCCTGTCTGCTCGTCGAAATATTTCGCGGTCCTAAATCCCCGACTCACCCTCCCGACTCAGCCTCCCTTCCAGCACCATCCCCGTCCTCGTCCTGGTAAAAGGTTTTGCTCTCCCGAAAGTGGAAAACTTGATTTTCCAAAGGCGAAGCTCGCGGGTGGAGCTGCGACAGCAAAACCGCGCGCGTAATATTCCTCATCCTTTTGCCGAAGGACGAGCAGGGCCGATAGTCAAATATATTTCGATTTTCTCAGCCGAGTGTAAAATCTGCTTTTAGCGCTGTTAGTCAGGATTCAGGATTCAAAATGAGCAGGACTCTTGGATAGCTTCCAAATAAATTGGATGAAGAAATTGATGGGAAACTGAAAGGATTAAATGAAAATTTATATCGGCTATTTCGTATCCTTTTCAATCGGCAAATCTTCTGCTCTGCAGCTTACGACTTTTCATTCTCAGCGGAAAGTTCAAATACCGGGAATCATTGGTGGTTGATGCTTTTCGGGATCCTGCGTAGTCCTACCAGGAAGTCCTGCGACTCTACTGGATACGGTAGTAGAAGGAATACGAGGAGTAAAAAGAGATAGGACATGAGAGAGAGAGAGAGAGAGAGAGAAACGAGGCCTTCTAAAAATACCTGAAG